TGCCGATGCAGGGGACGCGGGTTCGTGCCCTGGTCTGGGAGGATCCCACGTGCCGCGGAGCGGCTGGGCCCCTGAGCCACGGCCGCTGAGCCTGCGCGTCCGGAGCCCTTGCTCCGCAAGGGGAGAGGCCACAACAGTGAGAGGCCCGCGTACCGCAAAAAAAAAAAAAAAAAAAAAAAAAAAAAAAAAGATATGGGAAATGTTTTTATATACCACTCACCCCACCACACTGGGGGTAGTCAGAGAAAAGTGCTGAAAGAAAACTGTTTCCGAATCGTTCTTATTGATTTCTTCTCTGTGCAAACACGACAGTGCTTTTGCCAAACGGCTAATGTTGCGTAAAAAATTTTCTGGAGACCTTCCAACGCTCCAGTTCCTAATGACTGTCAGGTCATGTCTGTAAATGTTTAAATTATTTCTTTACTATGCCTTGTTTTGTGTTTGTGTGGGAGCCCAACAATTTTTTCCTTCATAACTTGGAATTTTTTGAGTGGGTACACAGCCTAACTTCATGGGGAAGGGAAAACACAGTATTTTTAACGTGTGATGAAAGCTCACTCAAAAAAGCCATTTTAGATCTGTTGAGAGTAACCTGAAATGAATGCTTTTACATTTTTTCAATAAAAAATTTAGTGGTAAAGAAGACAAGGCTAACTTTTTTTAAGTCAGCTTTCTGTGAATGGACATGTTTAGAGACTAACGACGCGTGAGATGATCTCCTTGTGTTCAAATTTACCTGATAAAGTTTATGGGAATCAGGACTTCAGCATACATTTTTTACATGCATACATATGTGTGATGTATATATGCCTGTGTGTGTGTGGCTATTGCTGCTTTTCTGTCATAGGTTCTCATTGGTTGATGAATTACAGCTGTAGGGACACTAAGGAATGGGATAGGGGGTACTGATGAAGAAACTTTTTTTGCTAAGTATCTAATTGTAAATAATATAAACTCATTGTAGAAAGTCAGGAAAGGAAGAAAGAAAATCACCTAGAATTCTACTAAGTAGAGACATCTAAGATTGACATTTCGAGTAATACCATAGCCTTCCATCAGTTAATGCTCAAGTCCTACTTTTTCAGTCCTTAACCAAACGACTCTGGCTTATAATACTGTGGTGTTTGGACCAGGGGTCGGGGGCGGATCACATGAACGCGTTTGGGGGCAAGGCAGCAAACAGAGTGTGTTAAATAGGCTGGCTGGGGGTTTTGGCAGATTAGAGAACGGAAATCCCCTCAGAGGTGGGCATATTTAGGAATGTGTAACATTTCCTGCATGCTGTGAGCCACTGTAGCTTCTACACTAGAGTTACGTCTGGAGTTGGCGGTATGGTGGGGATTAGCAACTTCTTGATATTTTCAACATGTCACCACAGACAAGAGGTTCAGGTTCCATTAGGAGAGGGCCCGAGGTATGGTCTAACACTGTGACCACACCAGACCAGTTTTGCTTTCATGATACCTTTCACGAACTAAGTGTAGCTGAAGGCTTCCAACCATCTCATCCAGTTCAAAATAGCAACTTGGACCTAAAGGGATAGCTCGCGAGGAAAAACATATGCCAGTATATAAAGATAAAAAAGAAATTAAAGGCTTCTTTTCAGTATGCTACGCTTATATTTCAACTTCGAAACACTGTAATTTGGGAGTGGGAAGGCCACTAGTGGTACTTAATCTTGTAGGTTATCTCAGGGATGTAGACACACAACAAACTACTAAATCCATCATTCCACGTGTGCCTCGCAACGGGGAAAGGAAGCGTGTCCACTGTCCAGGAATCCACCATACTATTTCTAGAAATGTAATGGTTTGTTCCAGAAATACCATTCAAATAACTGTCTATCCATAGGTAAAACTGCCAATCTGTACCTATTTGTAGCAGGTGCGTGGTAATCTACACGGACATACTTTGCTAAGTTAATAATACCAGTGAGATAAGTGCAAACACTAACAGAAGATGTGGGGTAGATTCCAGTGCAGAGCCATACATATAGCTGTGTATCCCTGACAAAGGGTTTCTCTGTGCCTGACTTCACTGCCCTGTGAAAGAAGGCTGTTGATGACATCTACCAGGCACGACGGCTGCTCACATACATTTCCATGCGCAGCACACACAGCACACTCTCAATAAATGGAAGATGTTATGTAATGTGTCACCATTTGAATAAAAGTTAGCCCAAGTAATATGTGATTGTAACGAAAATATTGGAAATGTAAGTTTTGAAAGCTGAAAATCAAATTTCGACACCTAGTTCATTTCCAAGATGTTTGTTGCCAGGATAACAAAAACCAAAATTTCAAAGTGTGGGGTGGGGAGCGGCTGGTGGTGGTGGAACTGACCACATATTTACGACGGCAGCATTTTAATCTATATAACTGATCTCAATTAAGGTGATTTCATCGAAGAAAAAGTCTGTTAACAAATGAGCTCTAAATTTCCCCTGCAACTGTAAAATTCCATTATCTTCCAAAGTTGGGTGATTTGCCCAAGGTTACAAATCATGCCAGGTTACCAGCTTTGAGTTTACCACGGCATTCGACCTACTGAGAAAACCTTAGAAATATGACGATGAAAAGCATATTTAACTCCTACTGAAGGTGCAAATGCCTCTTCATCGAGAGTTCATAATTAGCTTTTTATCAACCATGTTTGTGATTTCTCATTACAGAGTAATTAAAAGTAAGCTGGTAGAGAATACAACGCAATGAGATGGAAAGATGGCCATGGTACATTACCTTTAGGTGAATAAAAGCTGATTGTAAAACAGAACGACCCGACTTTGGTAAAAATGTATGCACAGAAAGAAATTTTTGAGGATACCTACTAGATTGTTAAACATTAGTTAACTAAGAGGTGGGTTATAGATGACTTCTTTTTTTGTTAGCTTGTCTATATTGTTTAACTTTAAAAATATGAACAAGTATTGATTCTATAATAATTATAATTTTCAAATAAAAGTAAATTAAAATATTAGAACCAGAGATCACTGTGATTAGAGTAGAAAAAAATTATAAGGAGGCTGAGCCTACGTAAACCAGAGGTTATAAGCAGGAGGCCCAGTTTCAACGAGCTCTTTTATTGGAAGATTTCTAGTTTGTCTTGAAAAATCCAAAGTCTTGAGAGCACTGGGCTAGGACGACCAGCTCCTCCAGCACAGACACTGCCCACTTCAGATGAAGTCTCATTCTGTCACTTGCCAAAATATAAGCATTCAAGCTTTCCACCCGTGGTCTAAACAGTGCAGCATAAAAGCCAGAAACATTCTGCAGGGGCTGAAAATGTAGCACTTGAAGATGAGCTGATCCTGATTTTCCTTAAGTTCTTAAAAGGGAGTGTGTGTACATATGTGCCTGTACATACACACACACGCGCGCGCGCGCGCTCTTACTGCTAGACTGAGCTGACATGATATTACTCGAAATGTATTGGTATCTCTGGCTAGTAGAATTATAAGTGACTTTTCTTTTTCACGCTTTGGATTTTTTCAGATTTCTAGAAGGAACTTCTATCATTTATAATAATGTTGTGTTAGTTTCAGGTGTACAGCAAAGTGATTCAGTTATACATATACATGTTATCTATTCTTGTTCAAATTCTTTTCCCATTTAGGCTATTACAGAATACTGAGCAGCGTTCCCTGTGCTGTACATAGGTCCTTGCTGGAAAGAGTTCAGGGAAAAATCTGGGGGGGGCCAATATCTCCTACTCCATGCCTTAATGTCTCTATAGCTACAATTCATTAACCAACGGGAACCTATGAGAGAAAGGCAGCAGCAGCTACACTCAGATACATGGACACACACACACATCCAAAATTTATGTTTGAGCACCCTGACTCCCATGGGCTTTGTCACATAACTTAAAACCCAAAGAGTTTTCACCTTACGCATTTCAGTCTGTAAATATGCCCATTCGCAAAAAGGGACTTAAAAAATGTTTAGCAGTAGAGACAGCATGATGATTTTTTAATTAAAACAGCAACAACTAGTTACGATGTGAGGTAATTCATTTCAGGTTATTCCCGAGGGATCGAAAACGGTATAGAGTGGACTTTCATCGAGCATGCATGCTGATGACCGGACAGGCTTAGGAATTAGGAGCACTGGAGTGACTGCGGAAAATTCCTTTACACGGCATTCGTAACTTCCATCCTTTTAGGGAAAAAAGAAAACTAGCAAGACCTTTTGGCCCTCTCAGATATACTGAATTTCCGGGAATCAGTGCAATCCTAAAACTTATTTTTAAGCAACCTCGGAAAAAAAGAAAGCTGACTGTCAATTGTGAATAGAAAGGTGTCGCTGTTTTCACCCCTTAAACAATCTAGTGATGTATTTAGACAACAAATGGCTTGCGCGCTACCAACTACTTTATCCTACGAGTCATTCGTCATTTCACCTGGAGGAAACATGGCCATGTCCTTACCTAAAGACTGGTAGAGTTCTGTCATTTTGGGATGGTCCCAGCAAGTTGTTTGGGTCTCGTGGCTAAAACATAAAATACAAAGAGAGACTTTAGAATTTAGAATGAGTAGTAGAGAAAAGGAGACAAGGAAAAAAAAAAAAAGCACGGTACGCCTTTGGCTCATTTGGCTTCATTACTTGACAGGCCTTCCATCTTGCAGTGACGAATGTTTATTTTACAAGGAGAGAGACCCCAACCTTTGCTCTCAACAGGAAAAGCAATATGATCATTATTTGGTAAGCAGCATTTGTCTCTTTTTTGTACCCACAAGTCGGCTGCACTTCTGTTATAAGAAAATGACCTTGTTAGGTACTCAATAATCAAAAATCAGGATTTCTTCAGCCGTCCAATTCAGAACATACAGAAAAGACACTGACAAGTGTGATTCAACTCTGTCAAAGAGATACTGATATTAGTTTAATAAATAAATCGCCTCAGTTCTCATTTGCTTTCACTGTCCCTGACTCTTTTCCATTACTCTCTTCTCCGTATCCAGATCTCATCTCTATGATGACTGTATTTCACCTCGGCTTAAGGTTCATCCTTTGCCTGACTCATAGATTGTATCTTCCCTCTTCCCATTACTTTTAGAATGTCTTTTTAACTCGGCACTCTATATACCACCGCACCTTTTCCTATGTTTACGTGGGCCTGAATGAAGCATTCACGGTTCTCTTCCATTTCTCGAAGTTCAGCTAAGTGTGTTTGCTGGCTATCGGCCCCTGCCACAGAAAGAACAAAACACCTTTGTTCCGCATTCGATTCCGTGAATAAACCTGGGAGAGATAACTACATATACTTTTCCTTACTTTGGCCCATCTACATAAATCACCATAGCATCGTATTTCCAGTTTTCGGGGATTACTTGACTGGGCTTTGACGCAGTAAAATGCAGCCCTGAACAATATTTCACTACTCATTAAGCAGAGCCTATTCATTATCTTTGAGGGAAAGGTGGGAGTGGAGAGAGGAGAAATAGCTTAAATGTGGACACTTCAAGGGGAGCAGAAAGCACAGTGGCTGCACACAGAAAGAGGAGCTTAGGGAGGCCAACAGTGCCAAGTGTAGGTGTTAAATCTTAGGACTGGATTCCGGTTCTGTGGCCTACTAGCTGTGAAATTTGGGGCCAGCCCGCTTACCTGGGAGCGTTAAAGGACAAGCTGATATAGGACGAGCTGATACAGACTGATACCTTCTGGTGCTCAATATGTGGTCATTTCTGTTATTACGTGGCCCCCAAATTACTGCCCACTAAAAGCAAAGCTTTCACTAGTTGATTATAATAGAGATGAGGATCCAACTGTGGTTAAGTCAGCCACACCTAAGACCCTTCACAGAGGGCAAAAGTAACACTCGATGTGCACTGCCTCTGTTTTCAAGAAAATAAGCAAAAGAGAGAAACATTTACTGTGGTTTGATAAATAGAACACAATCACAAATGACAAAAAACATGTGGAAATTCCCCAAAGTGTGCAACTTCAGAGACCATCCCTCTGATATTTACCATTCAGCAACTGAACGGTGAAGGCTAGTGAAAGAAATTGACAAGACAGTGTTCACTGGGGAAGGGCTGTTTCAGTCTCTTCCAAACCTGTTTGTTTCTGTTTGACTTTTCCACAGGGACAATTCGGAGCTGAGGAGTAAGTCAGTCGAGGGAATGTACCAGAGTAGAATCCAAATCTTACAGAGCAAGACAAGCAAAAGATACAGTCCATGCTTTAGGGGGTTTCTGAAAGCCCCATGTCCACACTGGCTTATGATCTGGAGAAGGGGTGGGAAGGACTGGTACCTTATATGCACAGCACAAGGAGGCTGCAGCATGCAGCTTCATGGAAAAAGTGTTGCTTATTCTCGGATGCCTTTTTAGCTCCGAAAGAGACTGTGTATGTACCAATGCCATACACAAGTGTCCAGCAAGGAAAGGTTACCTTCTATTGAGACCACCCTGCATTTAGACCTCTGCCATTTCCAAAGGCCATCATATGGGAGCACCAGGGAGGGAGGGAGGGAGAAAAGGGGGAAAGCACATGTGTCCACACGTACAGGCTCTTATTACACACACTACGTAATAATAACATCCCATCTCTACCACATGTGGGAGGACTGTAGCATCTTCAATCGATGGGCAGAAAAACGTCTGTCTGAGCTGACAAACCTAACCTGACAGAGACAGAGAGAGCCAGTCTGAAAAGCCACCATCTGTAATGGACTGCAAATCGGAGGAACACGGGCAAGAAATAACTTGTACCAGACGCAATTCCAAAAGAAAAGAGAAACTTGCCTACGAGTGACAGGAGAATCCCACATAGACTGAATGGGAGCTTCATGTAGCTCCCTCCCTCCAAAAAAGATTTCATGACTGTTGATATACCTACACTTCCACCTTTTTAAGGAATTTATTCCAGTGGTTAAAAATTACGAAAGGGATTTTAGAAATCATTATTTAATCCATCTGTCCATAGCTAAACTGAAATGTCCTTTACTGGAGGAAGGAAGAAATTCTAAGCCCCTACTTCTGCGCTCCGTTCATGTGCTAACACATACCAGTTAGTCCTTTCTAGGTACTCATGCTTTCTCCCAATTAGTTGTGATTCTGGGGTATGTGAATAACCTAGATAAATGAACTCGAACAAATCCAAAAGCTAATCTTCTTTTACCTTCCTCCCCTCCAACACGAAAGCCTTTTATTTTTAAGCAGTGCAAAGTAACTAGAAAACCAGATTTATATTTCACCTTTGCCGAGTTAGTTTCACTTCCATTACAACCGGGCAGTAAGTGAAAGAAGTGAGCACAAGTGGAAAGAAAAGAATAAAGGGTGTGACTAATCCTCCAAACTAGAAAAATAATCTTTTAGTCATTTAATGCCCAAAACAACTGGCAACATAGCTGAAATGACTCTAGCTTTGGGGGTAACTATATGATGAACCAAATAGCCACTTCACTGTATGTGGGTATTCTCAATCTGTGATGAATCCAAAGCCCCGGTGGGACATTATTTAACCTCCTAAACAGACAGGAAAGATGAGCATGAACAGGATGAAATGGTAAACACGAATCTGCATAACTCCTATCTATAGTCTACCTTACAGAACAAACCAACTTTTGGTCTGTGATCAACACAGGTTTTTACAGCTGTATTTCTGACTCTGTGCCTATCTTCAAAAAACAGGAGAGGATTCTCAGTAGCTCCACGAGAAGCACTTCAGGTTCACCTGGAATACACAGACAATATAGAAAAATACGCTGTGCTGGGGAGCTGGTGGTGGAAGGGTGTGGGTGGTACTGTTTTCCTGGTTACTGTCTCTTTTCTGCACTTCACTTTTCACGTCGGAAATGCACTGCCCATATACCATGCGCAGCCAGAATGGCAATTCCGGACCCTGTTCACAAGTTAATGGTTACATCTTTGTCCAGTCTTCCTGAAAACAATGATGTTCAACATAGATCAAAATTCTACATATGCATTAACACAGAAACCCGCCTCATAAATAATCCTTAAAACGCCCTTTCAATCTTTTAAAAAATGTTATTGATTTTGGCCCTGATGGTTCCAAAACCTGGCATCAGATATGCCTCTCTGAACAGCCTTCAAACTCTGATTTCCCCTCCTTTGTTTAAAAAAAAAAAAATGTGTATAAGCTACAATAATCTCTTTCC